TAATGACATTTAAGTCTGGGCTTAAAGGATTCGTTTCAAGCCAAACATAAGACTGCTTTTCGTTTCTCTTTATTCACTTTTATTTTTAGCCAAGAATTATGACTTCCTCGCCTTATCTTTTTTATAGGAAGGAAAAAAATTGCCATTTGTTTAATGTCAACACAATTTCTCGTCCCTTTTCTGTTTTCTAAAATTATGCACACATTTACAAACCTAGATATGAACATCGGTATACACACTTGTCTGTCGTTTGACCTGTGATAATATTGTTTTATTACCTAAATGTTTGACTTTATTTTTTGGTTTTGCTTTAATTCTTATATTGAATTTTCATAGTTATTACCGACCCTAACAAACACGTCATTATGCTTTTGGCTTGTATATTTCTGATTAATAGGAAATTGGGAAAAATAGGCACGTTTAGCTGAATGCGCCTGTTCAATTATCCGCCTTTGATTGTTAAAATTATCACAACACCGCACAAGTTAGACGACTGATATTTGCCAGATATCTTCATTATAGACAAGAAACCACATTACGGAATAAAGTCGATCCCAAGCCATCCCCAAAAACCGAAAAAGTACAATTTATAACCTAAGGTAGATAGCGATCTACAATATACTGAGTTGGCATTTAAAAATATTGTCTGGAAGTGATTCTGATCGGCCAAAGGAAACCATTGACCATTGATGTAATACGGTACTTATATAATATTCATAGTAGCTGTACCCGCATCAAACGGTCATTTGTGTGTGGTGGACATAGCAATGCGAGAGAGTGTATTAGTGAAGTTATTTATCTTTGAAGAAAAAAGTAGATAGCTTCAACGCAATGACAACATATATATTTACTAGAATTTCCAATGAAATTTTCTAGGTTTTACCCCGAAAATAGCAATCGTATGTAGTATCGTATATAAAAAATAAAGTGAATTTTTTTTAAACGAAAAATCTTCATTTATACTTCCAAACTTCTTAGTGTCATTGCTTTTGTTAGCCTCAAATAAGATTCCTTATTAACAGTTTGGTTTGGCGAAGGAAATTTATCATACATAACATCGCGACAGTCAAAAAGAAAGTCAATACGACCTTGATTTTTAAATTGCTCTTGGTTCAATTTTCGTACGATATTCGTTCGATTGATCAATTGTTTCTGTGTTATATGCATAGATGCAAGACTCATCTCACGTAATAATCGGTTTCATGACGTCGCCACATATTGTCAAAGGCTGGACTGCTAACCCACCAAAAAAAAAAACACATTTCAAAATTTCATTGTGCCAGCAAAAGCTCTTGTTCATGGTCCTATATTTGACGCTCTGTATCTAATAGATTGTATCAAATAGTTTCGTATCTGTTTCAATCGATCATTTAACACAATTTATCCCCATTTTTACCTCTCACTCTGCTTCATTTTATAATTCTGTGGAAGCTTTTGATCCGATTGAGATGATTTTCTAAGTGGACTGTCAGACAGACATACATGGTTAAATTGATTTCGTTATGCATGCTGGTCAGGAATATACGGATCTAACTTATTATAATGTGGTTCCCGTAAAAACTAAGTCATTTTATGTTAAATTTTTTTTAAAAATACTGCTTTAATATTCGAAAAGCACCATTTTTCATATTAGTATACAACAATTCACATGTTGGATGCCTAAGGTTCGCCTTATAGATGGCATATGCTTATGTGATTTATACATTTTAATATAAATTTAGCGCCATTTGCATATTCGTTTGCGCTTAGGTAGCTTTAACCGCATTCTACATATAATGGAAATTTGCTCAATGAATGGAATGGAAATTTTACTTTCTCTTCTTCAGAATGTTGCGTTTTTATTATAAAATTCATTTGTATTTATAAATTGGTTTTGTCACCACTGGTCATTGGCAGCGTTATAAACATTTAATCAAAAATTTTGATTAAAAAAATGCAGTAATCAAGTCCCAGATATTAATTTTATAACAAAAGGGATAAAATAACCACAGGACGTACGTACGTAAAGTTATATTATGATGAAATTTTCAAATGCATTTCAGAATTTTTTGTGCTTATTCGATCATATTGTAGAAAAATAGTTGTACATTTGATTTTAGAATGCAACAGAGGTTGTTTCCCGCAAATAGTCTCAACAATAATCATTATATACTAACGTGTGCAAACATCAAAACACTCTACCTTTGAATAGAAAATGAAATAATAGTGTAGTTTGGCTAAAATTACATTAACCAGCTGTTCCTTCAACATCTTAAACTGCAGTATCGTATCTTCATTACCTAACTCAGTAGCTGTGATCCTTTTGAACCTCCTTTCGATAATAACTGGAGCTGAATTTCGAAGTAGTAGTGGACCTCAATGATTCAATGAATCATCCCGACGACGCATTTCTCCAAAATGATTTGAGCATCATTAACTTACTTTGTCTTCCTTCGGCACGCATTTTGCCCGCGTTTCGATTCGTACAGCCATTTATCTGCAAGCTTCAGCGTAAAATTGCAAATGAGGGCAAGATAACTCTTGAGCAATTGTCAATCTTGTTGCTTATTAAGATTTCTTCCACTGCAGACGCTGGGTAGGCATTTACCTTTTAACCTAAACATAGTATAGTTATTTAGGAAATCAAAAGATAAGAAAAAGATAAAGATTTTTCGTCAGGTCTCATTGAAGACTTTCATATTCCCTTCAAAGTCACGACGAATGAAGACTTCAAAGCACTTTATTGCATTATATTTGCATGCCCTCGCATTCTATGCCTAATTTCGGAGTTACATTGTTAGCGTATGCGGCATTTGGGATTATCTACCATTATCCTTCAATAAGCTCTATCATTTCCCGCATCTATCAACTAAATCGCAGAGACTACGTCCAAAAGGTATAATAAAGGTTTGCCTTAAAGGTATTCGATTGCATTTTACCTATCAGTGTCCTTCTATTCCTTAAGGATGTAGTGGAATTGTTAAACAATTCAAAACAAATAAGAAACGTCTATGCATCCTAAACAATTAATGGGAAAGACAATATATTCAGTGCATAAAACATTTCGAATGTACTTTTTTGAAAAAACTTGCAAACTTGCTATGTGACCAACATTTTTCATCAGCAAGTTAAGTAGCAATTTGCTGAGTTATCGCATAGAATTTTAAAGCAAAAGCTGTCCTCATTGTTAGCAATACTTTGGGGAGCTTTGCAAGCTGAACAAAGCGCTTGTCTTACATTTCGTATTTCAAATAAGAAGCCATGCAAAGAAACTATCAAAATGTCCGCAAAGACTTACAAATGCAATTAAAAATGCCGTCATAGAAGCCGAAGAAGTTGTAGTTCATTTGCTTTGTTCTGCTCGACCTTCAACAGCAAAAGCATCCAACTAGAAAATTATCGTGGGAGTCTTGTAATGTCGACTCAAGAGATGAAGATATTTATTAGGTACGTACATTGTTAATAGTTACACATAGATTTATATTTTCTACATAGACGACATCATGGCGCGCTATTCACACGAAACTGTTTCTGTGTTAGTTTGAGAGTGCGCCTTAACAACAAATCCTACTAAAGCGCACATCCTTATTCGCAAGCATTTCTCAGTCCACACTATAATTATTGGAATGAACAAGTCCCCTACCGTAATATGTAAGTTGAGGGCAAGCCAGTTATTTAGCTCTTTGTAAAATATATCCCCTTTTTTTTAAGTTAAATAAAAGTATACGCGAGCAACGTTCAGAAGAACTTAAGATAGACCTCACCTCTCTTCACCACTCACTTCGATCTGCCGATTGAGTTGGGCGACAAGTCCCAGTTCGATCAATATCGAAGCCAAACCGGATTAAACTTCATGAGAGAGTTCGCCTATTTACTTTCAAGCGCATAGACTAGTAAGAAGAGCTGGACTAACTGGACTTAACCACGCCACCAGATAAGTACCGCGTTTGTTCGCAACAGAGCAAACAGAGCGTCGTCAGGTGTTTCAATCATATATTTGACGATGTTTCACAACAGAAAAGGTCGAGTTTTTATGTCGACCTATAATAGTGGTTAAGCTAAGAACTCTTTTTGCCTATCCGAGACAAACGGACGGTCGAGGCAAAAAACTGAAAGAACAAAAATCGACAAAGACAGACTTGATGCTAAGATTACGACGCCAGTTTTCTGAAATAGACTTGGGATAATTTCCATTGCTTATCTAAATCATTGAAAGTGCATTTGTTGCAGCGCTTGAGCCATGAAATGAAGAGAAAACGCACGATTTTGCAGAAAAGGGACGATATTGTTTCATCACCAGCAGTCGTTTTGGTGATGATTAAGATCAAGGAGCGAAAGTTGAAGCTGCTTCATCCCGCACGCTTTTCACCACGTTTAGCTCCCACGAATTATTGTCTCCTTCTAAACTTGAAAAGATCGTTCGCTGTAAAGGATTTGCCTACAATGAAGTGGTAAAGCGTAGCGTTCGTTGCCTATTTTAAGGAGGTTGACAGCTCTTACCATTGTTTAAGAAGAGTATCGAGGAAAAGTTTTCTTTCTTTTTTTTCTCCGTATTGACCAGTCACAATGAGCGTTATACCTTAACAGAAAGACTTTATGTGGAGACAGGTTAGGCACTTATGGGATTAACAACGGAAGAATCCGCTTTTAAAATGCATTTTTATTACGTTTTTTTAAACTACGAGGTAAAATGAATCCAAGTTTTTGTCATATCCAGCGAGTTCTAAAAAACTTTTCAGATTAGGTTGACAGAAGCGAATAATTTGAGGATGAAATTCTTTCTCAATATTAACCAACCTAAGGGCTGCATATGTCTTTTCGTTATTTCTCATATACTTTTTAAAGGCTGACAACTTTCCGCTATTTGCTATTCTTCCATTAATTTAAGAATGAATTGAGAAATTACATAATTCTTCTAATGATATTTTAATGTTTACGCCAATGCTAACATGATTTTTCTCCATTATATTTGGATGATTTATGACTTATATGAAATGTGATATTTTTTATATTACTTTCAGGAATGCACGCTGGATAAAATGAAATCGATTGATACGTGGCTTTTCGAGCTAAATAAATTTGCATACTTTGACACCGGAGCCAATAAAAGTCCGCTGATGAATTGTCAGAAGGTAGTGGCCAGAGATCGTAAGTAGCGTTTTATTTAACAAAAATTGTGAAAGACAAATGACAAACAACGTGTTCTTGTTTGAACAACTGAACGAAATTTTTGTGTGAAATCTTCTTTCATAGCCAACACAAATAAAATGGTGACTGCTCGTTTCTGTCAGCTAAATACCGGCGATTCCGATGCTTGCGCTATATTGCAAGCAAAGCTGCGTTCAAGTTCAGAGGACAAAACTCAAACTATGCAAAATACCAATGGCAACAATTACAACAACAATGGTCGTCGTGGTGCAAAGCAAGCGACAGCTGATGTAGAAGAACAATTTCACTGTTCTATTTGTACCACAGACAGCTGTAACGGCGTAACGAGCTTTAAGGTTAATAGGTTGTGGGGCGTTGCAAGCATTTCATTATTTACATTGTTAAACAAAATAAATTGGCAGAAGAGTTTAAGTGAATTTTGTTGAAAGATTGCAATATTATTGCATAACTTTCTTATTTGATTTTTTATATCCACCACTCACACTCAGAGTACCTTAAGTTCCTTAAATGATTGCAACGCTTTGGAATACTCATCAAAGATTGAACAAAAACTGTGCATTAATGCAATGAGTGCATATAGTCTCTGTGTACGTCTGTGTATCGGTTAAAGTCACAACTAAGCCATCAAAAAATATTATCAAGAATATCGATATTGATATTTTTATACTTCTCCTCAAAGGAGATAAGGATTTTAAAGATGAAATAAATCGCATCGTAATAAAGGAAAATATGAAACTTAACTTAAACCCTACCTCTTGGATGCAAATATGTTATGCTTACGTAAATCATCATCATAATGTTCTTCAATCAATATTTTCAGCAATTTCTTGCTAAAATTACGTAAATATCAAAAGTGTTACATGAACAAGATGGCACGTTTTAAAGCAAAGCATCTTTGAATCTTTGGTTTAATTAAGTGTACGAAACTCTGTATTACTCCCGAGGTAGATATGTAAATGCAAACTTAACTAAACGACGCAATGAGTTTCGAAAATCTTTTGCAAACAGAATATTTCTTCTTTGCTTGTCGACGTTCGTTTACATTTTAAAAACAACAAAAACAAACAAGTGGTTGATATCAAAAAGATTCGGTCTGATCGAATTTGTTATTTGGTTTTCATTTTGGCTTTATTTATATTTCATGTGACCCTGTATAATATATAAGCTTGTATGTGTGTATAATAAATCTTAGTAACTGTATAAATTTAAGACCTTATATAGAAAAAAAAAAAATAGAATAAGAAATTAGAAAAATAGTGAGCTAAAAACTATTGTTGCTTATTAGATAAACACGATTTAAATGAAAGAATGTTTTATGAAACAAAATAAAAGTCATTATTACCATTGATGCAATAACAAATAGTTAGTCAACTATTCACTCATAAATACAAAAATTATGAAAAATAAATAAATGAATCAAAATAAAACAGAAAAAAAAGCAACGTAAAAACAACTCTCAATATGATCATATTTCAAATGACATTAAAAACAATTGTAATTTAATTAAATGAATTTTTTATCTTTAAACCATTTCTTCTTTGTAATTCTCAGAATTTTGACAATTTTTACTTTAATTAATATGCAATGAAATAATTTACCGTTATTTTACTCTTAAGTGAATTGTCTGCAAAGAATGCTATGAAAAGTACTTGCCTTCAAAATAACTGCTAAGGAAAAGGAAAACAGGACAGAAAGAGGCCGACACAGAGAGAGAGAGAGAGAGACAGAGAGAGACAGAGAGAGAGATAGAGGGAGAACAAGTTGGTAAAATCAAAAGTTAATAAGTTCATCTTCTTCTAAGTAGGAGGACGTAAGCATCAAAATGCCCCAAAATGCATAAAGATAGTAAAGCATCCTCCAAAGTAAACATTTTTTGCACAATTTTTGAATACTACGCGGTTTACATTTCATTACTTGATTTAGAAAATTTGCGAATCGACAAGAATTTAAAAGGCATTACTTCGAGGAAAATAGAAGATCATGGATAGTACCCCTAAGTAGTCTTTTTCGTTGCTTTTTAACGATCTCTTTGCTAAAGGAACTGGAATAAGTAAAATGGGAGGGTATGGATGGTATTTACACCACTTTAACTTTATTTTAATCCCTTCATTAATCATGCCCTAACAGTTGATCTCTGAAACAGAAAGAGAGGGTGTGAGGGTGGGATTTATAACAATCAACTTAGATTTCGCTAAAGTCAAGGAAAACTTTTGATTTGCGAAAGCAAAATCGAGATCAGAACATCATGCATAATAGCAAAAATCGAAATAAGTCTATATTAAAATCAGGCACCTGAGTGAGTGAGTACGAAAGGCTATATTGAGATATACTTTTCATTTATGGGCAGTGTAAACTTTTTAGAACATTACGACCGCACACCTAACTTCTAAGGTAAGCTAAGTCATTTTTCACGCCCACCATTTTAATATATACTATATTATATACTGTATTATACATTATAGGGATCCGTTTTCATTTTTCATACACTTTTTGCACAAATATTTGTAAATAGCTAAAGTAAGCAAGAAGACTCCCTTAAAGTAAACATACTCCTTATCAGTAAGAGCAGCGGAATGGACTTGAGTATGTCTGTTTGCCTCTCCTACTAATGAGAGATTCGGAAAGAAATTTCGTTTCTTTGGCCAGAACAAAAGCCCATTGCTTTATAGTGCATAAATATTTGATCAAGAACAGCAGAATTCAATAGATTTAAATTCTTAGTGATCCCATTAGTTGTCATTCGGGGTTTTGCTTCAATTAAAGCCTTTATTTTATCCTTATCAGCTTCTATCACTTGATGCAATAACGCCGAAGTGATATTTTGCAAACCAGTTTTAGCACCGATGTTCTGCCCACTCGTCGCCTCAATACGCTTGCGAGAAGTTTTTCTTGATTGAACATCATTTTTACCTGCCCGCTAGTAAGAAAAGCAAAGTATGTCCAAAGTGCTGTTCTGGACTTTCCATATTAAACGAAATTTTTCCACACGAGACTGTGCGCCTCTTATGTGAACTTGCCTGTGAAAGGTTTAAGTATAGAGCTTAAATTTAGCTGTTAGTTGATTTATTTTTTACACCCACCACCGAAGGGTGCGATCCATTTTGTTAAAACAACACCCAGAGAAAGACTGCAGAGACCCCCATAGTATATAAGTATATACATTATCGATCAACACCAAATTTTGAATGGATTTAAGGACATTTGACAGGAACATTGGGAGTTCTTGTATGCAGGTAAGTATTCGCGATTCTATTTTAATATAAAGGTGAACGGTACAGAAGATTTGACCGTAGCCGAATATAACTTTGTTACATGTTTTTTTTTTATCAAATCAATTAAACCAGAATGAGAACTCTTGCGCATTAGCAAAAAACTATACAAAACAAATAAGAAAATTACTTGCGGTCGTGATTCTAAAATAAAAAAAAAACAACTAAATCTCTATGTTCTGCAGTGGCTGTAAGCAGTAGTAAGTGGGTGCGGCCCCATTTTCAGAAGAAAACTGGAAATTTATGTAGTGAATATTTTGTATTTTACAAGCAATAAGGAAAAAGGACGGAAAGCAAAAATATCCCCAGTTTTTGATATACGGACTTGTGGGCGTGTTATAGGCGTGCTCTTTAAAACGTTTGGGTCCCTTTAAAATTTCTCTTGCAAATTTGTAGGTTATATTTTCTTTTTCCCGAGCGGGGTATTACGGAGAGATAGGTAGACAGCCAGACGGACAGACGGACATGCATAAATAGATTCAGAACTTGATGTTGATCAAGAATATATATATTTTGTGGCGTCTCTGAAGTTCTTGCCTTTAAGTTCCTTACGGGTTTTGCACGCGTTTTGACTAAATGAATACGCCCCACTCACTTCGTTGATAAGTATAAAAAGCGTAAACATGGTTTCTAGTTTACATTCCCTACTGGCAAAAGACAAACTTGTGTGAAATTCATTATGAAATAAAGACGATGCAGAAGGTGTGTGCTTATAAGGTAATGATCCAAGTGAAAACACTATTGAGGGACGCGAGCCTCCCTTAAAGACCTTATACCACTTCGTTTAATATTATTATATCTTATAACAGCTCTTCATAGTAAGGCTTTATGTGGGGTAGACAAGCGGACAGATAAGGTTAGATCGATTCAGAAAGTGATTAGCGCAAAGCACTTGTACCACATTTTACATATATAATCGGAATATAAGTCAAATATTGTGTGTTTACCTCACCTAGTAGGTAAGGATGTTGAAATCTGTTGATTCTTTTTAATACGGTGGGCGCAGTGGTCGATAGCATTTTTAATTTAAAACTTTGAGTCGGAAACATATTTATTGGCGGAAATTGATGATTCGAATTCTGCTTCTCCTTCACTAATTTTTACTCTATTGCCGAGTAAGCAAAGGATCTCGGCTAACAACTCCATGGTCATGTGTTCAAATCTCAAGTGCGGTAGAGTTTTTAATAAAGCCGACAGCCTTAGATGCTAGTCTTTAGTCTTAGAACTTATTTCTTTGGCTAAATTAATAATGATAACAATAATAATAATAACAATAATAATAATAATAATAATATTCTATTGCTGTTGTGATTGTATTAGAGGCCCCTTTCTTTGATCAAGTTTTCATTTACGTGCTTAAAATAAAAAGTCGAAGGATAGATAGACCGACCGACCATCATATGAGTATTTCATGACGTCCCTTATGAACTTTCGTACGCTTATCTTCGAATGACATAATTAATAAGCCACCATCTTCTGACTGAGGAATGCAAAAGACGAGAAAAAACGTCATTCAATGGCTAAGCAATTGTGCCAACCTTCAGAATCCAGTTAAATTTTCGAATTTACGAAAAAAATTTTCATCTTACACCAAATTGACATGTTACAAAATATACAATATTATAGATATTAAAGAGAAAATTATTATCTTAAAGTTGCTGATAATTAATCTAATTGAGATTAATTTTCGTTGAAAATTTTTTGTTATTAAATAAACTAAATAAGTTTTAATTATATTTTTCAGAGCTTTTAACTTATGATAATGAAAATTGAATGCGAACACAGCAATAATGAATATGAGTAAAATAATAATAAAAAATTTATTCTGTAATATGCATAACGTAAAAAAAAAATTGTTAATTGAATAAAAATGAAGAAAAAAAAGGAAACAAAACAAAAAAATATAAAGAACAATAATAATATAAATTATAACAAAAAAAAATCTCTGGAAAAATCAGGAGCTCTTATCATGACATTAATTAACTGAAGTAATATTGTTATTATCTTCTATTAAGAAAAGTTTGAATAAATGGTTTCTGAAATTCATCTATCTTTCATCATTTTTATTAAATATCTAAACAACTTTTGGCTTTCGCAACAACTTTACATAGCTTTTAAATTCTTCATGTTATTAATAATATATTAATATTTGATTTTCATTTTCTCTAAGCATGTCTAAGCTATATGCGATATACAATTATATATATATATATGAATTAATTTATTAAACGATACAAAGAATTTAAGTAATTATTAATCAAAATTATCACGAAATGCCTTTAAAAGATTTTTGTTATATTGTATTTATGTGTATTTTAGTAATAAGCGAATGAAAAATAAATAAACTTTTACTTTAATTTATCTTAAATATACGAGTACATGTTAATAAATAAAAATATTATATTAAAACACAATAAACAAAAGAAAAAACATTTTAAAATAATAAAAGAATGCATAATAAATGTGAAAAAAGAACTAATTTGCGTAATATTACAACCATTGCATCCGTTTGTGAAACGTAATATTTACTTACTTCATTATAAATGTCTAGCCAAAGACAAGCAAGCGAAAATGCAAAATAAAAAACGAAATATAAAACAATTCTTTATCATATATTGCAACTAATTAGATACAAGTAAGGGAATGGCCTTCACCTGATGACGCATTTGTAATAGCTATAGCCTTGAACAGTGTGGCTTTCACTTCCAACATCTTTGATAAAAGGGCCGATGCTCTTCGCGCGCTAGGAAGGATTTGCGTTTATAATCTATTCTGTTTTTAAATATCATCCGACAAGTAGTCAGCGAGATGAATGGGCAGAGTTATTGCTCTACCGATGGGCAAATGGACAGACAAAAAAACAAATCGGCTAATTGATGAAGTAACGAATAGATGGAGTTAGGGACAGATTACAGAGCTAATTAATTAAAAAGCATTGTTAGACAAATTGCTGTACAGACGAGCAGAGAGACATGAACGAACGGGTGGACAGACGGGTAGACAAAAAAGAGCGCAGATTAATCGCAGATTAATGCTGAACTACACAGCTGGTAGTGACTATTCGTGTGGCTTAGAGCGAGTAAGTAATTCTCTCTATCCGTCTGTAGTTGAACCAAGTCTGACCTGAAATATACATCATTCGTATAAGTATTTCCAGACAAAAGTTTGGTAATAACTTTAAATAAGTCTTTGTTATGGACCAGCCAGCACATCAACTTCACGCTTTCCTTACGCTATTGTTGTTTTATTGTATTTTTGATTTCCTTATTTTTCAATACTGAAGGAACGATTTAAAGTTTCAAACAGAATCTGCAAAATATTTATCGTCTATACAGACATATATACCCTACGAAAACTAATGGTTACACAAAGCTAACGGGAATGAAAACTTTAAAATTTAGAGAAAAAAGCGCTTTGTTAACACATGAGTTGAAACATCGTTTTAATAGCTTTGTTATGTAATTCATATCTTTAAACATCGAAATTTTATCACAGAAAAAAAAGTTTTTAGTTTTTACTACTATGTGAAAGACATGTTTGTCCTATCATTATTTTCGGCAATACTTCGATGGGTAAATAGATTCAGATTTTCCATGAGTGATAGAATCGCCTACTGACTGTTACAACACAAGAACTATCGACGTTTTGCATACACTTATTTCTACTAAAATAAGTCAATTTGACCCATAGCTTTCATAGAATAGGGACAGTCAACATATAAAAGGACGCAAACAACAGAGTCGCGCTCGTTTATAACTTTCGACCCCGTAATGGCATGCTATTTATGAATGCCTGTTAGTAACCCGCTTGAAAGCAGCTTCAATTCCAATTTATTTCCACTTTATCCGTAACTGGATGAAGAATTTGGTAATGTCCCTTAGAGTAAACTGTTATAGAAGCAATGTGATAGTTCTAGTGTCAAATTACCCGTCTATTTGGCTCAATAGCGGGAGCCCCAGTGTTAAAGCATTATCCCACATACCCCAATAGGGTATTCACTCTTCTCTATTTACTTAAACGTTCATCAGCGCGATTTCATTTATTTCCATTTTGGGCAAATTTGAACATTTTCATTTTTTCCTCCTCATTATCGTCACAGATAGTTAAGATGCTACCATTCAATTTTCTGCTTAAATTGTGAATCATTTTTAGTCTTGTTGTTTGCGAGAAGTCGTCATAAATTTTCAATATAATAAATCTTGTGAACAATTTATTGAAAAGTATGTTTATTTATATCTTCTTCTTAGTGATTTGCTCCGGATTTTTGCATCACATTAAAATCACAGGTAGGTTTTAAAATTGTTGGCTTTTATCAATTAAAAGAAGGTGAAATTTTTAAGTGTCTAACAAATTTTATTAAATTATGACCAGAAATTATGTGTGTGTAAGAAACATATAATCTTTGTGCTGACATGTTCCCGCCAAGTAAAAATTTTTTCTTTGTTTTTTTGGAGAAGTAATAATATTCAACTGGGCGGGAGAGGTACTAGCGTGGGGAGTAAAATTATTTTATGTGAGTACAATGCCACTATACATACTGCCCATATACAACAAATAATCTATAAGTAAGCTTTTGGTCGTAAATGAATTTAAATACAGTTCCATGCTCACGTAGGGACGAACTCTTGGTTACATTAAATTCCAAATATAAAAAATTCCCCCATTTTAAAATCTTCCATCGATAAACAACGAATTCATGAGTCATTTTACAAATGCTTTCAAAATGGCTCCTTCATAAAGGATTTTTGCGAAATATCATCCCCAAAGGGGATGAGAACAATTTCCCGGAAGCAATAAACGCTTTACCAGGCATCTAAATATGAAGATAAGTAGAATGTTCCTATAGAAAATATTTGTTTATTGTAGGAAAATAAAAAAGCGATTTTATACAAAACATTGGCCATCGCTGGTCTTACATTTTTCCACGCGTCTGCCAATTCGTAGTTGCCACGGCAAAAAAAACTGTCGCTCCTTTAATGCAAACTAATTTCGCACATTTTCATACGAAGTAGAGCACTGCTCAGCAAGTGAGTGTAGTTGCAGAGAAGGATGCCTGCTTAGCGAATTAATCACCGGGCTTGCACTTGCCAGTTGTTTTTCCATGTGGATGAATTGAGGGATGGTCATGTAAAAAATCACCTTGCGTTGCTTTTCTAGGTATTCTATCCGTTGCTTTTTGAATCAAGTAGTGGTTGTTAGTAGCGTTAACCGTTGTGCGAGAGTGGGAACTTTAGACAGACAGACGACGATGCTCTTATCACCTATGGTGCAATAGCAATTCGGTCTTACGGTAGATTTTGATGCTACGTCTGGATCTACCCATGAATTCTTAAAATAGAATCACTTCTCATTCACCGTAAAGGTACGATGCGAAAACGGTCTTCCTTTGCATCGTTCAGGCATAGAAAAAACGCTTTCGGCAAATGCTCTTTGCCTCACATGAAAACCCCAACACTTTCGATGTTAGAAAAAAATGTTTGCGTTGTGATATGTGTTCGTATTAGGAATGGTTGTTGTTGCGACTAGATGATCTGCTTGTTGGGGCAGTCATATTATGCCTTAAATATTTTTGATACACTTCTTCTTATGCTGTCTTCACCTAAAAATATGAAAGACAATGTTCATCTCTGTCCCTTGCAGCAGGTATCAGACGGATAATATTAATGATCGTATTCAAGTTTATAAATATCGAAAAATAATTCCGTTACCCAACCGCTGAATACTTAAAAGGGTTCATTTATCACTTAGGAGCGTAGTGATGCGTATCCCCCCTTTATAAAGTTTTGCAATTTAAAAAGTGACTTTGTGAAGTGAAATGTAATCTTAATTCGGACGTCTGTCTATGATGAGTACATCAAAGATATGAATTTCCCATTTATTTTTTAAGCGTTTTTGATATTCATCGTATGCCGCCCTTTTAAAATGGGAGTATTTTTGAGTAAAGCGAATAGCGGATGCAATTTACTTACTTATCTAGCGTTTGAAGCGATTATTACGATCTCAATGCTTTCCTGTCACTCATTCAAAAACGAAATTTGCAGCCAAAAAGGGGGAAAATTGGCTGATAAGTTACAAACATGGAAAGTAATTTATATTCTATACATTTTTGACATTTAAGTGTTGATGTAAGAGCCTGAGGGACAAGAGTCAATGCATGCCTAGAAGATTTTACTGCATAGCCAGAATTAAATTGTCTTCCTCTTAATAAGTTGTCCAAATTTGCGGGAAGCACGGTGATCAGTGAGGGCGACGTCTGCAGAGTAGGGCGGATAATGCGGAAGCTCGCACTCCAATTTCTGTAGTTTTGATCTAGTTTTAAGGTGCAATAGCAAAGGAGTTGATCTGTTGGTTGATATAGGATGATTTTCTTCAAATTTTCGCACCAAGTCCAAGGCCAATTAGTTGCATTATATTTCTTGTCACGCAGAGTTCGAAAATCAAGTAAATGTTCGAGTGCATTGGCCAAAATTACAATTTGTACACAAGGCGGAGTATGAAGTGTGTAGGCAATGGCTTTTGGTTCGAACGCTGCCAAATGGTATCGAAATATATTTTCTACATTTCTACATTTATGTGTTATATACGAAGTACTATGACCGTTGTACGAATTTCGTACATGTAAACGCTTTATACAGAGTACAACTACATATAAACGCAGTGTTGAGTGTTAAAAATTTCAGCCCACACCAAAGCCATACTTTTTTTCGCCCTCTTAAATTTATTTCCGAACCATAAACAAAAAAGAAAAAAATTTCGCTTTATAAAGTTATTATAAATAATTTTTTGATTTGGAATTTATTATCCACAAAAGAAGGTCGTTTATTTTTAAATTTCGAAGAACTTCATGTTGATAAATTTAAAGGAAAAATTTGTAATAAACTGGCCGAAGGCGTTATCCATAAATGTAGGAAAACATAGAAAAATGTTTTTTATTGAGGAGAATGAAAATTTAAAAATGTAAAAATTTTCTAAAAATAAGAAAATCTCTTATTTAATTTATTTGTTAATTTCATTTAAAATTAGAGTTTACACATTTTCCTTGAAGAAACCAAAGCAAATAGGTTGACTCAGGAAATGTATCGCAACTGTTTATCTTTGAAACATGTATACATTTCTTATCTTTTCACCTACCTGTCAGGCGAGGGCGGCCAACATTTGAACCACCGTGGACGGCATATCGTGAAAATGAATTTGTGGTTGTTTCTTTTAATGACTTATTAGTTGATTGCTTTAGCTTAAGTGATTAATGCGAGTTTTATAGGAAAAGAGGGAGAAGAGAGATTAGCTCAACAATTTTTTGTTCGTGTTTATCGCTGTGTCCGTAGACTTTTCCTAGTTTCAGAAAATTATTTAAATTAGAGAGGAAATCATTTGTAAACTTTTTTTTCATACCCTACTTCAGAAGTCAATATATCCCGTGGCCAACAATGAAAGTACACCCAAAAGCTCCGAAGTGATCTCAAATGATTTTATTATCGTTTTCCATCTTCCCCGATTAGGTGAAATTCGACTCACAAAACCGATTTAAATTTACTCTCCTTGACAGCTAATAATTCTATGTGCTTCGTAGAGGCTTATAATCAAGAATCCTTTGCCTATTGTGTCGGAGTACTGTTTTTTGTCCAAACCGACTTTTTCCACTGGCTGATTTAATGGATAGCCTATTCGTAATTCCCACTTTTCATTGCCTATAGCAAAAACATTATTCTCTCGTAGTAAAACGTAACGCTGATTACCGTAGTAATATAACACTAAGTTTTTAAATGTTCTCCCCATGAATTGAAGACAGTACTCTCTTCCACTTTGATCATTTCTTATCGTTCAATTGCTTTCCCGTTGATATAATTGTTCGGACAAATTACGTTTTTAATCTGTTGATCGTCAATATTTATACGAAATTAATTGATCTTTTATGAATCTAACGCATGATTGAACGGCATTTGGATTGGCAAGTATAGGTTTGACATACCTGCAATACATTTACATTTGGAATTGGAAAAGAAAAAACGATATGCGGTTTTTTTTCGTATACATCTGTGTATATATTAGAGTTATTGTAGATAAAGTTCTGCTTTGGCAATGACATTATTCTCTACATTTCTTTTGAGGGAAGATATAGAGACTTCGACCTACATACGCGCATAATAGCATAAGTGTATATTGTAAAGTATAGAAAGTAACATTTTTCTCAATTTCCGCTATCGGAAATTTCGTTTTTTTGTAAACTTGGTTCTCTTCCTTTACTTTTTCAGGCTTAGAATGCTATGTTTGCGATGACTGTAATGATGTGAAGGATTTTAAAAATTTACAAATATGCGAGGAAACGCCTGCGATAGACATTTACAGTTCAACGACCTCGATTCCCGTAGATTTTCCCCAAACTTTCGAAAATGCAACCGTTAAGTTAACTAACACAAAGTCACCAGAAAAGGAAGAAGGTTCAGGTGCAATCGAAAACAGTGACCTCGAATATGAAGATTATGAAGTAATAAGGGGAAGGCCCCCATATAGTATACAAGATCTCGATGAAGAAGTGTATCCATCGTATGAAAAGTCAACGACCGCATCAAGCCAAATTCTCGCTATCAAAGAAGACCACCATATTCAGCGTGAAGCATCCAACAAACCCTTAAGTTTTCAAAAAAATATTTGGATAGAGTATGATCTGGAATATGAAGAAGATCCTTTTGTAAGAAATCGAAAAGCACATCTTACGAAAAGCTTGAAAACATTTGCACCACCTGTCGTAGCATCAAATAAAAGCAAACGAAAAGTTAATATTAAAAGCCAGCATGTTCCGCAAGTAATCCTTGATTACGACAGTAAAGAAGATTACATAGATAATGGTTTTGTAAACAGAGATCCTTCTCTTACGGAGACTTACACTAAGCAATTAAACAATTTACCATACGCTCCGCGGGAATCCTACAAAAGCAGCGCTGCAGTGTGCTACTTGATTAAAGTGACAAGTATTTACATCGCTTGTATTTATTGCTTTTACTTGACTAAATAATATATATTTTTCCCCTCATTTCATTGTAATGCATACGTACAGTTAACAATACCCTGGTCACTAAACGCGGCTGCAGCAATTTGATTAATGCTAGCAATCAATTGACTTGCCAATCTCTGCATAATGATGCTCCTCTGGAGATTTGCCACATTTGCAACGCAAATGCTTGCAATAAATTTCTAGCTGCGGACGATGGCGAAAACCTTGGAAATTCTGTAAATATCGCTGCTAATATCAACTTAAGTGTGTTGCTTTCAATTTTTATAATGTTTGTACCTTTGCTTTAAATAAAAATGAGATAAAAAAGTTTTCTTTGGAAAAATCGAATTTAAATTTAATTGAAATTTCAATAAGCAGAAAATATTGGAAAAAGAAAATCCAATAAGAGTTCTTGAAGAGTGAAATAAACAAATATTATCAAAAAAAAAAAAGAAAAAAACTTTATTTTTTGGACTTTTTTTACGGCAGTCTGTAGATTACTTTGCTTAATGCAACTGTTTTTTGTAATTATGAATCAACACTAATAGGGTGTGGATGGTAGAAAATATTCGAAGATTACGGTTTCGATCAATCATTTACATTGACCTACAATTCGAAACAACTCGGAAAACTCATCACAGTTACATTCAAGATATCATCAATAGAGCTTAGCGGTAGTTTAACATTAAACCATTTTGATTTGTGTTTTGGAAAAAAAAGGCACTGCAGTTTGTGTTACTGAGGAGGAGTTCAATCACCTTGGAGACGAATGATAATTCGAATTTTTTAATATACAGTATTTTTAACACATTTTCCCTTCTTAACCTCACACTACCACTTCAAAGAAGACTATAGGCGCCGATTAACTTCTTAACCTTAATCGATACGCTTAGTATTGTGACGAATCGCGTCGCTATGTATTTGAAAGGCTAACAAACAGAAACGAGTCCGTCCATGGCGGACAGAAAGGACTCAATTGACTCAACATTTCGGGGTAGAGCTCCATCAAGTTACAGTGCATACCATTTCAGAACAGTAACCGTCGTAGCACATTGGACAATCCCTTTGCGAGCTACGAACAAAAGTAAATAAGAAATATATTTGCAAATTTTTGACCAAACGGATCTTACCTTTCCGCGATACTTCATTCCTTTATAACTAGAAGCTTGTGAGGCACATCGTGATACGATTCGTTATAAAAACGAAAAGACTCCATTTTTACATTGTGGCTAACTTCAAATCTACAAATTTTTTCCTTAGCGTTAAACGTTAATTTACAGTAAAGAAAAAAATGTTGCAAAGGCAATATGAGCTAATCGAACAATTTAAACAAACAACCAAGAATTTATGATTAAAGAAAAGTTTGGAAACAAATGCGCATAACTGTGGAAGTGCTGTTTAAAAAAATCACGATTTACAATTCACGCAAGAGCACCTTTTTTGTTTCAAAAAGAAGTCAGCTACAAAATTATTAAAATTTTTTTTTTTTCAAAATTGCGATTAAATTGCAAGGGTGTGTGCCAGGGTCAATTGCTTTCATCTTCACTAGCTTGCTATTTTTAAAAAAATCAGGCCTGTGCTTGTTCGGACTGGATCCTCATGTCGAGATTTGGAAATTACTTTATTTTCGAATAAATTTTTCGATTTGGAATAGACATTTATTAGCAAGCTTTTGCACAAAAAAAGAAGTTCTGTAAATATAGTCGCGTGGGCTAAATTTTTTTAATTTTCTGCCTTTGTAAGTGGAGTCCTCCACAAAATAAATACAAAAAATTCCAGACTTCTTTCTTTCATAAGTTATGAGTAATGAACAAATACCCATAGATTTTCGTTTGGAGAAACGGAGACGCATGTAGTTTACGCTTTACTATGATCGTCTGCTTTAACCAATATATCCCAACTTCGTATGTTTCCGCCATGTCGATAGCTTAATTTTTGCGATCAGAAGAATGTTTAATATAGACGTTACACGGACAGACAGACAGACAGATAGATGGGCGGACTTGTTTAAATCGATTTACAATTTGCCGCTGGTTAATAATACGTATACTTTATGGGGTTTCTGAAGCTTCGCTGTGGGTGCTGCAATTGCGATCGGTGCAAGATCGGTACATTTTAAAATAAAATTTCCCATAAGGAATCTTTCAATATAAGGTTTGGTGCACACATCTGAGATAGCGTCTGGAAGCCCTACAGTAATGCTTCTGCTTTTTGTTTCACGTCTAGAGTAAAAATATTTTCCAGAATCACTTTTATTACGTAACTCTTTGAAGATATTACGCAGATGTGTCGATGAATACTTTTTTTTTTTTTTTTTTTTTTTTTTAAATATAGTCATTACCCCGTTTTACTCAAGTCTGATTACTTTTAAAAGTTGCTTTAAGGAAGTAAAGTAAAAACTGTAGGAATTGAAGCAAAATGTTTGATGCGTTCAACTTGGATTATAAATTTTTTTGCTTATATTTGATGAATAAGAACACAACCAGTTTTTGCGTTACTTTCATATGTTGCGCATGCATATTATTGTTTTTTTTTGTCATATATGAAAATAAATTTTAATATTTGGTACATGTTTTATATATTGCCAAACGTCATGTGCCCGTGGGGATGAGAAATTTCACGTAATGTAAAAGAAGTAAAGGTTTCCTGGCAAAAAGTGAAATTAAAAGATGACTAAGTTAAAAAAGTTAGATGAGTGCAGAATTTTCTTCTCCCTACAAACGAAACTACAGGGAGTTAGCTGTCAGCTGTGTAGAATTATTAAGAAGATTACAATATACAATTGCATGTACAGTAATAGTATTTTGCTTTCCCTAATTCGGTTTCGTTTTTCCTCTTTTTTACAAGGTTACGCCTGCGCTTGAGTCTCATTCACGTAAAATTGCAGTTTGTTGTTTCAAACTCGACGATTGCCCAAAACAATGCCCTAAAAGATCTCGAAGCGTTATCTCGATCAAATATAAATATTTCTAAATTTAATGAAAAGAAATGTGAAATTAGTGTACTCTCCTCCATGCTTTGGAAGCATTTATAAAAAGATTCATAAATAAATGAATAATAAAACGAAACTCATACGCAGTTTATGAATAAACCAAACTTTCTGTAACAAATCTTAAAATAACAACATAGAGATTATATCAGGCATGGACAGAATTTTTTCTCACCCTACTGCCAACTTGCTTTTGGAAAAGAAAGCTTTGTGCAACAATACCTGAGAAGAGACGATATGTCATCGCGTTTGATTATGCAAAAGAAGTTATGCATTTAAGTTAATGGATTTCAAATCACTCCTCTTACTTTTAGATAAAATTTTGAAGTTGTTATTACAACTTCTACAGACGTAGACGTAGATGGAGGTAGATGGACTTGGCCGACTAGATTTCACTAACCACATTGATCAAGAATAGTATCTTTGATGCTATTTTCTACATATTACATAAAATATAATAAACTTAAGAAGGCCAACCAAGTTAGCCAATAGTATAGTGAATATAGTATATAATAATGTGCAGTAGTATATAATGTAGTATATAAAAGTTTATAGAAGCATACATGTAATGTATAGCACATTGCACGAGGCGAAAAGTTGTATGCAGCATCCCATATGCACAAGTGATATGCTTCGCAGTGATTTGAGCAGAAAAAGTGCACACACATTTCCCACGAAAGCTAGAAGCGGTTCTAAGGCTGTGCACGTTAAGAATGATGTCAGCTTGTCACACAGTTTCAGCGAGATCGCCAGCGGTCCTAGCAAGAATGTTATCTATCGAGCTGCTGTTCAGTATTTGTTAGCGCAATGGCAGCAAAGAGGGGAAAGCAACATAAATCTTGTACAATGGATGTGGAGAAACCACCGAGAAGCCCCACTTTTTGCTAAACCAAATTTTGACTGGTCATGGAAATATTTCGCTTCAACATACAAGCAGATGACGCACGAGACTTATGCTACAGTATGAACAACGAACCGCAGGACATTGTGTTCGTCTAAACGACTTGGGCATATTTGGGGGATTTGCGTTCCACATCTCGGGAAGTAGAACTCCGTAATGATGGAATGATGGAGGAAATGCGTCTGTTTTTTGCCCGACATGCTTCGATATAAGACTACGCGGGAAGGCGACATTCGAAGCCTCCATTTCATGCGAAGACGATGGGGTTACGATGACATAGTAAGAACCAACAATCCATAAGGGTCCATATGTAAGCGGAATATAAAATGCGTATCTAGTGTATAGTATAATATATATAAATGCATATACATATCGAAACATGTCATTTACTGGTAAAATCGACCATCCTTACTAATAGGTTTTCTTTGCAAGTCTTTTAGCAAATATTTTACTATTAATTGCTACTTTAATTGACATCAATTATGTCATTCGTAGTCTTTATCAGTTTCAAATTAATTAAGTGCTTTGCGTATTTACTCATGCGGTGTAAATGTAAATACGTAAATAGAGCAAATTAAATTTCTTAACAACTATTGAAAGGTCGCATGTGAGGCAATATTTTTTATTTATGATTTGTTCTTGCAAACTACAGCGTCAAAGTCAGAGGTAGTAGTTGAATTAATCGTGAAAACTTTTCTATATTTACTCTGCTCTAAGTCCCTCTGCAAACTTTACTTCTTGCAGCGATAGCTTGCAAAAACAATTTATTACAACCTCAATACATAGAAGACAATATATTATGTACGTGATTATAATGCAAATTAAGAATTGTGTTAAGCAACCTCACAGAAGTGCGAACAAATAATCGTACGATGCTTTCTTCACATTTTCGATGTACCGAAATTAACTTCAAAAAACCACTTTACGCTTGAATAGATTCTTTTTTGCTGCTTTCACAATTTTCTAAACTGAAAACAATTTTGTGCAGTTAAGCATTTTTAATTGACCTTAACACCCGATGAAGGGAAATCTATTAGAAAAACAGAGAAGAAGAAGAAAGGAAGCATGAAATGTGAAAAATATTAAGGGAAAAGAGTGTACTCAGACAAAAGCAGTTATTGTTAACTCATTATCAAGCTGCAGCAGCATTTTACTTTTTATATGTCACACACACACATTATATAAATTGATTAGAAATTTTTTAACAGGCAAGATTTCTTTTGAGAGAACGACTATTTTTTTAATCGATCACAAGCACAAATCGGTCAATAATACCCAAACTGAGGCACAGACTTCGCATCTAACAAAAAATTTCTGTTAATTTTAGAAGCATTCGACATCTACTAAAACGCACCACAATAGTTTAAAAAATGCTAGTTTTGTCATTTTCAAAAGCAACGAAAAATCCAAGCAGCAGAAACACCGTTCAAACTCGGCATTGACTTGAAACGTGTCATGGCAAATTCCCTTCATCGCAAACAGCAATTTGTCATTGTTGTTGATATTACTGGGATTCGTACGTGATGATGAATGCAGTGGACGCTCCGAAAGGCGTGCCCACGCTAGAAAACATTACATAAATCTGGAAAAGTATTCTCGATAATCAAAAAGTGGAGTTTGCAACGGATAGCTGCACTTCTAAAAACATCATAAGGCAATGCATTCACTATATTGCGCGCAAATTTGGAAAAGAGAAAACTGGTTTTCGGATATGTATCGGCTTTTCTTTCATCGGAACAAACGCATCGTGTCAAAAGTAAACGGCTAGAATAAGTAAGTTCACTTGACCATCAAATGCCTATCCCATCCGATCTGGCAGATCTGGTTCCTAACTACTCACTAACGGTTTACAAATCGACAAAGATTTGAGTCAAATCTGTACGGAAAGTGAAAGCTGTTTGGAAGATCTTGATAAAACAGCAAGAAAAGCATTGGACCGATGGAAATATTTTTATATAAAATATATTGACCAATAAAGGCGAACTTTGCAAATCAACTGTTACTTCTTAACTAGACCCGGGAATTATTGATCAATAAAGTATGTGCCGCGTTTCACATAAATATCTGTTGATAGCTTAGTTGTGGATCGATCATATGGACATGCTCGAACCGCATTCGGTAAGGACTGATTAAAACTTCACATGAGCAGTTTCAAATATTTATTTCAGTTTTAGCGAACGTGGCCATTCCAATAAAAGCCGGACACGGTGAAGTCCACTTCGAATCTTACGCTAAATAGGAATGTATCTATATGAATCTATATGAATGTTACAAAGAAAAATACAAGTTAAGTATACTTTTACCCTTCTGCAGTAGCCATAAAAGTGAAAGTCACCTTGAAATATCATCGAAATAAAGAAACGGGAAACATTTTCTATATTCATCACGTTAATACTCTTCGTTTCTTAAGCAAATTCTAAGCGGCTGCTTAACTAATTTAAAAACCTACCAATATTTTTGGTAACATTCAGTGCGAAACATCCTATGAATCCCTTTCAATTTTATTTTTGATAATGTACGTCAGCATAACCTTGTCTTCTTTTATTAGCACAACTGTTGGAAGACCAACCAGTAGAACAAAACGTACGCAAAGTATTGCGTAGTTAACAATTACAAGGCATTCTTTCAGCAGGCACTCACTCTTCAGAATAATGCATGGGGTTGATAGCAACGCAAGAGGTAAGTTTATGCGGATGTTTGTAAAACCCATCAGGGCTTATGGGGGATCCTCTTTTCATTATATTGATCGATTTCGAATAATTCTCTTAGTCAATTCAAGCTTAAGCTATCTCTCTTTCTGTCTGTTTAACTCATATCTGTCCACGTATATTTCTTTTCCGTCTCCAAGTGAAAAATTCTTGAGATATATTCATGCAAATTGACTCATTAAAGCGTTTTGATCCAAGAATGAATGCTATTGAAAAAGGTTTAGATAAAACCATTTTTACAACCGAATAGAGGAGAGAGAATGTCATGCACAGTCGTTGATTGTCGCTTACGTTTATGACGACAGGTATCAAGTTCCGAAGTGTTCATGGTTCGAATAAAACATATCAAAACTAATTAAAAACCCGAACAGATCTTGAAAGGACTAAATAAACGGCTTTCAAAACAGTTTCAATCACTATTGGGGCCAAGCGAAAACTGATAAAAAAAAATAGAGAGAATACGAGCAAAGCTTCAACCACCGTCTCCATTAGGCAGAAACTCCTAAAATTTCGTATCATTTGCTTCAACGGATTGAAGACTCACTCGAAATTACCTGCTCTCCAAATGAGATCTTATTAAACTTAACTTAATCTAAAACATAGGATTAAATTGAGCGGTGATGTCGCTACTCACAACATATGCACCAATTGTTGGCGATCAGATATAAATATTAGATCAGATACAAATGTTTATACAGACTATGTAATTGATGTCAGCATATTATTATTGTTATTATTTTTATTATACAGCAACGACTAAGAAAACCAAGTTAACGTATTTTATGTACATTTCTTTAGTTATCCGAAAGGTGATAACTTGCCCTTGTCGGTTTAACTTACCCTTTTCCGAGTCTACCTTTTTTAATAAAAACGACCCTTATATAAATTAACAAGATTTTCTTGTGCCAACATTTAATTTGTTATTTTAATTACCGAATCTTTTAACAAGAACCGGCAATAGAATGGAAAAAGCGTATGGAGGACAACAACGCTGTCGTTATAAAACGCGAGAATTGTTAAATTAATTCATCCCAATGTTTTTCAATGTGAACCTAAGATAAATTGAAACGTCAGGGGAAACGAAATTATTGTTACAGAAGAGGTGTAATCGTGCATTCGTTTCCCGTAACGGTTCCAACCAATTGTACCTAATTATGAAGCAATGGACTGACCGTACTTTTGCTGAAAGAAACGGAGTTGAAGTCACTTTGCGCATTGCTTTGAAGACGATATCTTCACTTTTTGCGACCAGGACACGGACACATAGACGAACTGACATCGCTTACTCGATTCGTAATTGCACGCTGATCAAGAACATGCATAACTTACAGGCTTTCTGAAGTTCCCTTCCTTTCGGAAGCAATGCAAACATTTTTAGAAAATGAGTGTACCCGTAACCTTCGGTATAATAATAATAATAATAATAACAAAGAAAAAAATTTTTGCTTACAGAAACACGAATACTTTCATCTCAAGCTTCAATGTGAGCTTATCTTTTGACGGATCTGGCCGGTTTTCAATGCCGATGAGCCTGCAACGGCTTTCAATGCTTTCAAAAATGTAAAGTCGATATATTAATTTTTTCGACCACAAGAGTGTCAACAACGCAGATACACAAAGATGGATACACGTACAGGTATGGCTAGATCGGTTCTGAATTCGGTGCTAATCAAGTGTACATAGACTTGAAGGGTTGTGTAAAACTTTTTTCCGGGCGTTCTAAACGTGATGACAAGATGAATAGTGCTCCGTCTTTCGCTAGTCGCCATAAAGAAACAAAAAATCTTGAAACTAACCTTCGTTACTTACCACCTATGCTATCAAATCAAAATCTCAAAGGTTTTCCGGAAATTTCTTTCTTAACCAATTTCCACTTTATTCTCCATTTTGCAAGCAAGCCCTTGTATTCCCATTTTTTCGAAATATTCTCTTCTACGATAGTTTAGCGGTTTGAAGGAAATGAAGAAATATACATTCTTTGTACTTCAAAAGAGCAAATCCATGATTTGCTGAAAGCTCTTTGATTATTTGAGCTACTTTGCAGTTGGAGCATTTCCTGTAAGACCTTTTATGTCTGTTACCGCGTTACACTTCCCAGATGATAAACCCGAGCTTAAGTCTTTTAAAAACTATGCAGATATACCCTTTTACTAAATATCTTCATTTCTCGTACTTAATCCACTATAAGAGTAACTTCTTTAGTTTTACGGTATAAACGAGTTGAGGAGATCTCCACGGCATATTTAAAAGTGTTATGAAAGCGAATGAAATTACAAAGTGCTAGCTATTATTTATTGCGTGTTCTTTAGCGCGGCTCACATAAACATAACACCCTTGGTAGTACATTTTGTTCATGCTAACCTAGAGAATATGATTAATTGTAAGCCGTGCTATGATGCAAACATTCCTCTCCTATAACTTTACAGCCTGTCATCCAAAAACTGTGTCGATAGGTAAGCTTGCATTTTTATTACATCGAAAAACTCTAAGAAAGTAATTCCGTTACATCGTCTGCAGTATCTCAGTAGTGGTAGGGCTCAAATATTAATTTAACTAACGCCTTCGGTCTTTAAGTCTCAAGTAATGCTCTCAGCTTTATTTATGCGTTTAAATGCATATTTGTCTACATAACCTTATAACATTTCATTATGTTTTTGATAGAAAAAAAGGCATTCTTTTTCAAAAAGGGATAGATGATAAAGTTGAAAAGTAAAAAGAATTACACAAGTCAAAACACAAAAGTTTTTGAATAAGTGAGATGAACTTCCTCAAGTTTTATGAAAATAAATTTAATTTTATAAACGCATTTAATTAAGGCTACAAAGTCAAATTAAATAAAAATCGATCTGCGTTTATTAACAAAAACTTCTGTTTTAGCTTGACAGAGCGAATGAAAATATAAGAATAAAAAACAGTAATCAAATGATTGTTGGAGTTCATTAGCGTTAGCGTTTATAAAACATTAGTTAGTTAGCACCGTTGATGTTATTGTTGTTATTGTTATTTGTTGTTTGTATTATTGATGTTACTTACATTCATACGTTTATGTTCACAACTAAAGGTTCTGCATTACTAATATGCTTATTCAGCGATTGAGAATAAAAATAAATTAAAGTACGAAGTAATTCATTGTCTCATGGCTTTTGAAAAGTATATAAAACTTTTCACTCAACATGCAACGCAACATGATGCACTCGATATCGACTTAGTCGCAATCCCAAAAGTAGTGAATGTTTTTATACATCTGACATATATAGAACAGATATTCCAAAGTTTAGCACAAATGCTTATTCAAGCCGTATTAAGCAAAAATTGTCTGGAATGTTTTGCTGGCTCATCTCAAATAAACGACATATATATTGAGTACCTTTCAGATTCTTCCCCTCATAATGATGGGGATCCATGAGTCGTTATATGACCAATATAACTTCCTTACCTGCTTTCATTTCAATATAAAAAGTTTCAATGTGTACAGAATATTTTCAGTTGTTTTTAAAAATTCATTAAGAACGGTTACAATTTTCTCAAAAAGTAATAACAATTAAGTGAAATTTAATATCAAATATACATAATAATCGAGAAAGTAAAACTACCTAATATAAATTAATAGAAAATTAAAAAAGAAATAAATAAAATAAATAAAATAAAAAGAAAAAAATTCGAAATACAAAATGTTTTTGAAAAACCTTTTACTTGAAAGCTTGTGGTGTTTTGTCTTGGTTCAAGGTGATTATTATTATTGTTGTTGAAAACCCAAATGTAAAGTAAATAAGCTAAAAAAAAATTACAAAAGAATTAAAACAAATCTCTTAGATCGAGATGATTACAAACTGGATTTATTGATACATTTTTTAAAAACACAAGACTGCTTTTTACTTGTGGATAATAATCGCGTATAAGCGTTATACGAGTTTTGAATAATTTCAGTTCCTTTCATTCTTCACTTGAGAATGTTGGGACACATTACTTTTATCCCTCAATTCGCTTCAAAACAAGTAAAAAATTTATAGAAGCCCACGGTCCACGGCCCACAAGTATCCAACACCTGATCGCTTAATACAGTCTTCATATCGAAGGAGTGGTTCGATCCGAAACATTTTCCCTAGCGTTCCTCCTTGAAAAGAAAACATGCCCATGTACCAAATTTTAACAGAATATTTAAAAAAATTTTAGTTGAACACAAATCAGAATGGACAGACGGACAGCCGGACGGACAAGCTTAAATCAATTCAAAAAATGATTGGGAATCGATCGGTATAATAAAAACGGGACCCTTAAGTTCTTTCGGGTATGGGCATACATCCGCACAAGCTTAATGCACACTTGTAGCACATGTTGTGTAGAACAAAAAAGTTCCATTTTTAATGCTCAGAAATCCACGTAAAATCTGTTGTAGATTATATTGGGCTTCAAGGCAGGACATTTTGCCGCCTAGTACTGTTTGTGCTAATTTTTTACTTAACATTGAGTTAACATTGATAAAAAGCGAAAAAGTGCAGCGATTTTTGAAATCGAACCCAGATTTTCTTTGAGAACAGGCCAATTATTCACCACTTACTTACCTCTAACATGCGGTAACGGAAAACCAAAGATAAACATAAAGGTAGCAATGACCAACTCAAGGCATCTTAAAAATACGACTGCTTGTCTGCCAAGTTCTAGTGAAATTAATTTTGCTTCAAATGGAACGTCTCAAGTTGGTCGCAGAGTTTTCCACTATTTGACGACAATTAATAATCGATAAAATCGTATCCCTATTATATATTAGCACAGCAAGCCAATGCTCGTCGTAGAGTATAACAGGGCCGTAGAGTATACCTGGTTGTAGCTGTAGTGAATACTGAGGTCGGTGAAGGAGTTACCATTACCAATTTGGCACGCATCCACTAGGCTGCGAACACCCCTTATCCCCTTCCCTTTCTTCCCTTCACCTTTCTGATCTTCACAGTGCTAGACAAAGAGGGATTGGGTTGATTGGTTATATTAAAAAAAGAAAAAAAAGAATTCGTACATCCCCACGAAATCCTTTTCAAATGAATTTTGTGTATATAAAGTTGATATAAATTTCATAAGAATTTAAGAAAAAAAGAAAGTAAGTCGTAATGTAATAAAAATTAATACATTAACGGAACTAAGACTCATCTTCAAAATAACTAATTTCGCATCGAATTCTTCTATCGATGTGGACTTTCTTGGTAGACAGACATCTTTCCATCGGATAGCACGCTCATAACGAAAAGAATAAGAAAGACCTTGAAGACACACATGCTATAAACCAAACAGTGTTCTAAAACTAATCGAATTACATTTAAACTAAAAATATTATAATAAGAGCGCATTAAAGGCATGGCATTCTCTATCTTTCTCTCTCTCCTTCCCTCCCTCTTTTTTGAAAGAACAAACATGTGATAAAAAATTATTATTTATTAAAAACAATTCAATTAATTTGTTTCGCTTTATTACTGGGAGGAAACAAAACTTGTTTTCTCTAAAAGTATAATATAATAATAAGAAGTGTACATAAATAAAAATATTTACGGAAAAAAAAATTTTTTTTTTTCAATTTTTTGCATTAGAATTAAAACAAGTTAAAACGAAAAATGAAAAAGTCATTGAAGTTTACTCAATATTGCGGTAGTTAACGGTAGAAGGAAAAAAAACACAAAGTGATTAATGCCGATTCTAATAACAACAATCGGCTTTGCGCCTTTGCGTCTTTGCGTTTTGCATATTCATTAAAAGTATATGTAAAATAAAACAGAACTGAAAGTGGGAAAAATTTGACTTGATTGGTTATATTACTTGCTTTAGCCATACATTCGTGTCTTTGTTCTGAAAGATAAATAAGGTATACCCAGTAGACATTTTCTAATTAATTTCATCGTTATATCTGCTTTTTGAATGGGTTGTTGGAATCCAAACCATATGCCGCTTGCTGTTCGCCTACACATACTCTCAAAGAACATCCATTAATTTTTATTAATAAGTAACGAAATTCAAGTGAGCACACTCGGGCGCAAAATGTTCAATCTAACTCTTTCAAAGAACGTTGACTATGTGATAGAAAAAGCTGGGTTATTATTAATAAACAACAAGAGAGACATGTGTTTGAAACCAAAAAAAAAAACAAAAGGAATTTTTTCAAATTAAGGATAATGTGTGATATTCTTCAACCCGTAGCAATAGGTAAAAATGTTAAACTATGTCGTTAATTGTAGGCGTATCTGTTTATCCATTTCGACATACATTGCCGGTAACAATTGCCTAGTAAATGTTCTCTTTGGCATAGCATTTACTGGGGATTTGGGTAACAGCTTTTTTCAGAACAAACCTATATATCAACTCGATCCTTGACGGCCAACTGAATATAAAACCCAAATTTCAGCTTTTCACGTCAATTTTTCTCTTCACGAACATTGAAACCACACTCAGCAGATAGATGGATCTAAATGCAATTAAACGAACACATAATCTTACACCGATGAAACATTGATTTGCTCAATGGAAAAGAAAATGTCTGGTATACCTGCATCCACTCTGGATGTTTGAACAGAACTTATCATGGAGAGGTATAGCAGAGGAAAAACTTACTTTGTAAGAAACTTACTATAAAAGCGTATTTTTATCATACATAAGGTTATGATGTCTCTTATGGGATTCATATAATATATGTCTAGTTTCGATTTAAGCAGAATCCTTTCCGTCGGTTAATCTGCTTGTTTACAGGAATTTCTATTTGTTAGGGATATTTCCAATGTTATCATAATTTAATTAGAAGGCTGAAGCTTCAATCATAGGTCTTTGAATTAAGTTCAGAGTAGTTATAAGGTCCTCACGGTAAATGTACAGTTAAAAAAAAGAAAAATTTCAAAATTCGGTGTTAGAGCCATAAAAATATGTGTATGTGTACGTGTATATGTATGTAGAAGATATCAGCATTCGAGCTAGATGTATCAGCAACATTCATATATTTTTATATAAAAATATTATATATATAGAGAGGACAGACAGAGTATAAAACAAGAGACAACCTACCTTTCTGTCTACATATATATATATATATACCTGTGTATATATATAGAAAACATGGATTTTAAGTATCATTTCGATTTCGATTTACCAAGATCTCAAAGAAAAGACCTGATTATATTTTATCGTCTTAATCGCAGTTCAGACGGAGAATGTTCAAAAATCGAACTAACATATTTTCATTACACATTTTGCTTTTTTCTTAGCATGAAAATGAAAATTAAATAAATAGGTGCATAAGTACATAAAGTACCCACATCTATGGCATATACACATATTTTAGGGCTCTTATCAATGCCATCTCGACATTGAATAGAAAAATACGCATACTATAGAAAAACATTGATTAGTCATTAGGAAAATAGGAAATTATGGAAACGTATATATAAAAAAAAGAACCAATACCCCGTTCCTTTAAGTATTTGAATAAGTTTCTTAATTACATGGAATTTATTACTATATTGTATTTATTTATGGATTATCATTGTGATGTTTATTGGGCTTAATATTGGCGAACTATATACTGTACAGATTTATTTTATTTTCTTAATTTAATGAGTTTCAGCAGATGTATTTTTCTATTTTACTTCCTATTCATTATTTTATTTTTCAAATATTTTTGGAATATTTTGCGATTCTAGTTAAAACAAGTGCAACTAAATATTGCCATTAATGGTGACTAATTATACCTAAATTGGACTCGGTGGCAATATTACTTAAGCTGTTGCATTTCTATATATGTATGTGTTTGTATATATATGCAACTTTATTGTATTTCATATGCTATGAAGAACAGGCGTACACATAGAATGCATTTTTTTTTTTTATATACTCAGTTAAGGGGATGAGGGGTTTTACACAAGCCGCACTCGATTGTCTGATAATATTTCAAAATATTTAACAGATTATTTTATTGACCAACAGAAAAGGAAATGTCTACGTACGGTAAGTAATTTTAAAGTTCATTTGTAAGTTTGTTGTTCTTCTTCTTGACATGGCTGCCTGTGGGCCGGTCCACTCAAGTCATCTATTTTTTTGAGTTTGCTGTTTAATTTATGATTTCGCACAAATTGTATAGAGTGAGCACGATTGTGGCGAGCGCAAGATCATGTATTTATTTAGCTTTGCCCGCCGCTTCGGTAGTCCTCCTGCCTATCTTCATAGAGTTACAAATTCTAAGATGCAAAGTTTAAATGTTATACATGTACTCTTTTTCAAGGTCCATTGATCAAGATTACAAATAAGCTGAATCTGAATGGGAAGCTTCTGAAAACAAACAAAGTATTTTCGATAAAACGAGTGAAATGGTCGCAGTGATACGCTTATCGGTGTCCTTTTAAATATTTAGTGCACTTGACTTGATAAGTTGGTTCTTTTATTATTGATTTATTTTAACCATGAACCGGATTGATTGGAACAATTGATTGTGAATATAATGGAATACGATTTAAATTAACCTTTCAATTTTCAATTGTACATGTCAAGAATACTCGTCATAAAGACACCAAAAATTGCATTCATATTATAAATCCACGAATGAAACATAACTTATTCTCTTGGGGAATTGGCATTTAAAGATCTGTTGTAAAGTATGCACATTCGATTAATCTACCCGCCTACAGTGCAGTAACGCAAACTAAGAGGTTTTCGATTTTCAAAAACAAGCACAGCAAGCGAAGGATTTAATGGCGGGATGCGCTCCGCCCTACTGTACCCCCTTGCTTCCTTTATTATGTTTATTCCTATATCGGGTTTTTAGAATGCGGCTTTATATGGAAAGTGGTGTAAAAAGTGGTCCGAGCCGAACAATTTCCAATAGCGTTCGTCCCTGCCCCAGTAGTTAGCCAGTTGCGAGTTGACCACAAGAAAACAAGAAAGACAGACGAGCAGACCTTGTACCGCAAGGAATGTAGAATGCAAAAACGATTTTCTTTTTTGTTGATTATTATTGAGAAGCGAAATTTCATCCAGTTGGCCTCATATTGTTTTTGTTTTCATTTCCATAATGCCATAAAATTATCTTTACATCGTCTATTTTTTATCAATGAAATAATTTTGTTTGTCAACAACAAATAAAAACTTACGTCTCTTAAAAAGCTACCAGGTAATGCTTCATTATTTGCCATAATTAATTAGTTTTCCATACCAGAAGAATGTTTACTCGGTTCATATCGAGTATTGTCGCGTTTGCTGACGAACATAATCAAAGCATTCAAAAAAGTTAAATGTAATTTCATCTCTCTTGAGACTTTCCCTTTGACTGTTTCATCAATTCTTCCTAAAATTTTAAGATTCCAGTAATTGACCAAAACTGGGGAAATTTTGATTTCTCGATCAATTATACCAACTCATTACATTCTATACGCGACATAGCCTGACTGACCTTGTACAGTTCTTTTCTCTACCCAATTTCGCTATCTGTTGTATAAAAGCAAATATAACGCGTTTCTAATTTAAGTGTAAGTGTGAAAATTAGAGAAATCGATGACCGTGAAAAATATCAGTGTTATGAAATTCCAAACTATTATTTTGAAATTAAATTTTTTTATCTTTTTTATTGTGGAAAAATAACAAAATGAGGAAACATGTTAGGTTAGCGTGTTTTTTTTTTTTTGCTCCCAAGAATGCTTTTGGAAAACATTATTAATTAAAAGTTCAATTCTTAGTACAAAATACCAAGTTAAAGCTTTTAAAATGTAAAGTGGACCACATAATTGACCTAAAAGAGTTTTACACTTTTTAAAATAGGGATAGCTTTTCCGACTTTATTTCCGAGATTCGCTTCGGATCACTGAATTGTGAATTTTAGAAAAGTTTCGATGTTTTGTTTTTGCAATTTTTAATAGAATTAATTACAAAAAAAACAAGTAAAAGCACTATTGAAGGCCACGGCCCACAATTAAATACCCTACACCTGTTTGGTTAATATGGTGTACGCACAACGATTTTTCAAAAAAAGGCGTTGGTCCGACCCGAACAATTTCCAATAGAGCTCGTTCTTGGTGAGTTCTGGATGTTGTATACATCTACAAAGCCTTAACTGACCACAGGTGGTATGGGGTATATGAAAACGCGTAATAATTTTTAAGGGTGTAATCTCAAGTCAAGCTCAATCACGCTTGGTGTATGTAAGAAATACGAAGTCATTATCTTGCCAACGTAGGATCAGATGAGGGTGAATGTTATATGGAGTTTGGAGAAGGGTTAATATTATATGAAAGTATATCAATTTTCCTTGCTTTTCTCTTCCGCCTACGTACGTATTTATTATCGCTGTCATAAGCAAATGTAAATCTGTCGAAGATTTCTAAACATCATATTTCTCCATTAAATAAATTCCATTTCCGTGGGAGCATAACCAACGTTTTCATTTGAATACAATAAATTATTGAAGAATCTGTTTATCAAATAATTATGAAAAACTTGTAAATGTTATTATTATATAAAAGAAAATAAATGAATAATTGAAATAAAACTTAATAACGATGCGGAGCTTAATAGCTGTACTTAGGCCCGCTCAGTATTTATAGCCTCAGCGTATCAATAACATGCAAGACAAGCGAATCAATTTAAATGTAACCAAGAGGAAAAAACTGCAACTGCTAAACAATATTTTAATTTCTTAATCTGACAGCAAATTACTTACTATGCATAAGCTCTTTATTATATTGAATTTATTGAATGTAGATTGGTTTTTTCCCTACAAATGCGTGAATAAATAAAAATAAGAATTCGCGGATGTACATTTACTTGTAAACAAAACAATTTTTATGCACATGATGCATAAAATACCTTTATGCGGTGCATCACTTGCAGTAAAAGTTTGCGCGGGCTTATACAACATCCAGAAGGACTGAGATAGACTCACCTTTTATTATATCTGTCGATTCAGATTCCTAGACGCCTAGTTTGCTTTGATGAAATTTTGCACACCAACGTGTTTTTACTCACGGACGAAGGCTATTGGAACTGTTACGGATCGGTCCACTTTTTCACTCGCTGCCCTATTATGGAAAATCGTTATAGGTAAAAAAATCGGGCGCATTGAAAGCGACTGTCTGAAAACTCGAAGAACCAAAGCAAGAGTTATAAATATAATCTATATGGGCCAAAGAAACAAATACTAAAACTAAAGTAGAATAAGCCCTTGCGACTAAGGCTTTCGGGTCTATCTTATTTTAAAAAATAATCTAGTCACTCCTCTCACAACTCATTTACATTCATGAACGTTCTAGCGTTCCAAGTCTACATATTCTTTCAAACCACACATATATCTGGGCGCCTTCCCTTCGTCTACCCATTATTGAAACTCTCATTGTATTTTATTCTGACAATAAAATCAAATGTCTACTTTGCGCCTTGAAAAATGTTGTTCCCTCTACGCATTAGCAGGATATTTCAACTCGATTAACAAGGAAAGCCTATACATACCCCTCAATATATTACCCAGTTGACAAGTGTCATGAAAACTAAAAGAGAAAATCGAAACTTGGTATTTATTTTCTGGGCTGAATTAGGGTTTAATCGTAAATATAATCGGACCCATCCACACTAAAAGATTGCGAAAAAGTGACAAATATAAAGTTAGTTTATAAAAATTATTAAGTATTTTGCGCAAATATTAAAAAAAATCATAAGCTTATAATTATCCATAAGCCAGTAATATTATTTTTTTAACGAAGACTATTATAAAACAGCAAAGTAGTTATGAGAATAAATTGATTAATAATATGTTTCACATACATCGCTCCGTGACGCTTCACAGCTTGGGTTACAATGTGCGTATGGATTAAAAAGTCACAAAACATAGGTATATTTGAGACAAGGTGCCAGGAACATGAACATGGGACGACGATGAATCATTGATGACGTCAATGCAGACCAGCACGTTCTGTAAAAACTCTTCTTGATCGCCTACACTTTTTCGCCTCGTGCAGTGATTCGTCCGTTTTGCTAAAAATACATCAAAATTTTCACATTATTTTACGCCGAAGACATATTTTTTATGCAAGCCCGCACATTGAACGTTACCCAAAACGTCACTTGGCGTGATCCAAATTTGGCAAACATGATTTACTTCCTCAAATTTTTTTTTTTAAAAGACTAGAAATTATACTTGCTTCCCATAAAAGGGCTTGCTTTTCATGATAATCCCTACCTATGATAGGATCTGAAACACAGACCTATATATACAAAAGTTAAACCTTTTTCTGAAAGATTTACTATTACTTACATGGAGTGAAATCGAAGAAGTAGATGAATGTGTTTCAAATTTGGTTAACAAGGTGACGATAGTAAGCAAATTTTCATCAAAAAATATTAACAAATAGAGCTTTTTGATATATATTTGGTATTACATTTCATGAGTAGTCTCAAAATAGAACTGGTCTACATACGGTAAGGTTGGCTTTCTTGTTAAGTTACTTTTATGAAAATTATACACTTTACACCATATAAAGATTCAATTTTGTAGGAATGGTTATATCAAGAGACGTTCAAAAAATGTCCCCCTTTTTGCATACTAACTTAGAATGTCGAAGTACTATTATTGGGAGAGTTTTGTCAAAAAATTTTGAAAATTATAATTTTTTGCCTACACCAATCTTTCAAAATAAGGCATTATATGGAGTCGTCGAGAAAGTGTAGCGATCCGAAACGTTCTCAGTAGCGTTCATCCTTGAATCAAAACATGTTAGTGTACAAATTATCAGACAGGCATCAAGTAGAAAGACGGACAGACGGGCTGAGAACCATTCAGAAAATGATTCTGAATTAAAGGGTATAATAAAAGGTGAGCGTATCTCACGATGGGTGTAACATACGCATGCATAAACCTTACATGCCTTGTACAATAAGTGACGTAAGATATAAAAATATATTCCGTAGTACGCGCAATCTTCTTCGCTTCGCTTCGGTTTAATACGAAACTATGAAAAAAGATGTACGTAAAGAGGGCATTTGGCAACTTCCATTAGCCATTTTCCCGCTCGTCGTCTACCGACTTTGACGAGTAACCCTCTTCAGAAAACCGCTGCGGCCCGTCCTCATCTATGCAAAACGGTCAGTTAAATCCCTTTTTAAGAATAATTTGCGAAAATTGCATTCACATTTGAACCATTTCTGTTAAGAAACCTTCCGGTAATCTCAATCGAGAGCGGCCAGAAATAACTAAATTTTCACTTTTGCTTCTTTCTCATATGACACTTTTGTATTTACAGCATGCCAGGGAGAATTAATGTGCTACGTATGTGACAACTGTCCTGTGATTACAGCAGATATTCCACTTCTAAATTGCAATGAACAGTACTTCAATTCGGACACCACAACCCGAACAACGACAATCCGAACAACCAGCACAGAAACTGAAAGCACTTTGCTCGGCAACAGCGACACATCTGCGGGAATCTCAGAATCTATGACAACGAAATTAACAACTACCACTACCTTGAAACCAACAGAGGCGATGAATTCATCGTTCACTACGATAGTAATGGAGACAACAACGATAAGTGCAACAGGGAAAACAACTAAAACATATCCTAAAACAATTACACCTCAAGCAGATAATTCCAACTCTACGGAAGATATCAATTTTAACACCGTCACCACCACCCCAGTTACTGATATCGAAGAGAAGAGCACGGAGAATAATTTGAGCGAGTCGAAAACAACAAAAGTTTATTCAAGATTATCTGCACCTAAGTTCAAAAGTGACTTTATGAGTTCTCAAATAAACGAAACCCTTATCAAACATGGAGAAGACGAAACTGAAGACGAAATAACAAGATCCAAAATCTTCAAGCCTTCAGAACAATCGCGTAGTCGTAACGCGCGGCACACTACTGATCAAATCTATAACTGTTTCAAAGTGGAAGCCAAAGGTAGGTCACAATATATTTTAAACTAAACTCTTTGTCATTGCTTTCTATTTTCAGTTAACGGATCAACGAATATTGCACGTGGTTGCTCCCGCCGTACACCTCCAAAAACTGCGTGCGCACAATGGCACGAAATGCACAATAATATGAAAATAGATGAATGTTATTCTTGCACCAGTTCAGAATGCAATGGCAGTTCAATGGTATCAGTATCAGTGGCAACTTTACTTATTGTTTTGGTAGCCGGATGTTTTCACTATCACTAAAATGTGTACACTAAAACTTTTACAAAATCAAAAAACGCACTAAGCTTTAAAATATACAAATTATTTATCGCATTATTTTTTAACTTAAGTCACGTCACCATTACAGTAATTCGGAAAAAAAATGAGAAAATGAAATTATCTCCCATGCCGTTCAAACCAAATGTAGTAAATATGAGAACTTAAGGAATCTAAATATTATAACTTTGATCTGTTATACGAATCAACATGATTTTAGAGTGTATTATTACAATTTAAGTTGAAATCTGTGTAGTTACTTTTCTATGAAAGAAATAAAAGATTAAGTAAACATGAATCAATCAATACTAAAAAACAAGCAAAATACTATAATGGACGAAGGCAAGCCATTGAAAACTTTAGGCCATCCTACATCATCTTTTTATATAAGGACTTTTTAAATAAGACGTTATATGGGAATTGGCCGCACAGCGGATCGGTTCCAGAACATTTTCAAAAGTGTTCGTCCTTGCGATCGAACACGTCAAAATTGCGACCGGTAGATTGAAAACAAGAAAATAGGGCGTCAACACGGACAGACAAGATTCTAAATCAATCGCTAAAATAAAAAAATCGGTCTATCTGAAGCTCTTCTGAGCGCTGCATACATTCGCATAAACTTAATATGGCCCTTATACCACAATGGATGCAGGGTATAATTATTATTATTATAATTTATTTAGACCAAATCAATAAATTCTAATACTAAAAAGCTAAACGGAAGGTTACATGGATTTCGCATAAATTTATTATACTTATCATACCGCTCGTAAGTACATTTCTTTTCGATAGCAAGGGTACACTAGTAAGGTAAGTACATGAAAGTTTGGAAAAGAAAACTAAGACTATCACAGCAAAGAAAGTGCTGCTTACGCTTAGTTTTGACAACTTGCAAGTTATAAGCTGTGATAGTGAAATGTATAATTTTTATCACATGGTTCTAAATTTAAACTAATCGTTTTCTTGTCAACAGCAACAATTTTGTTTCCGATATTGAAAAAAAGTTACAAATCATACACATCATAACAGTACAGCTCCCTATAATTAGTTTTTATGTAAAGCGAATTCATACAACACCGTAAAAGGATTGGACAGAATATATTTATTCATCAGTTTTCGTACATATCTCCCTCTTGCTCACTGATGTTAAAAAAAAACAAACATTTTTTACTCAACTGCCATAAATATTGTTGTCATGCAATCAATGTCGTAAGTCTTGGTATAATCTAACTGAATAGCGCCACACATATTCATATAAACGGTAAAGTCCAGTACACTGTGCTAAATATTCCTTGAAGACTGTCGTAGCAACATTTCTCAAGTTTTCATATGTACATTTTATAGCTACAAATTTGTACAATTTTGGTTTAGTTGAGTCACATTCTCCAAATTGGTCACCCATTAAAAAAATAGTACAAAAGTATATAGAAGCTGAGCAAACAAGGTTTAGCAGACCAAAAAAATGCTCGTAGTGTAGAAAACGTTGCAATCCTTGTTCAAAGGATGCTCGAGGAGTTAATGGCATTAACTCCAAGGCATTGGCAGGAATCGGGCAAGTGCTTGAAGAATTTCGCACATATACAACCTTATTTAAGACCTTTATTCGCTTAACAGAAATATTAAAACAAGCAATAAGTTAATTGCCTTTGCATTTTTTGAAGTGTAGACTTTACCGAAAATATCGCTTTTGCAAAACGTTATACAGTATGCATACAAACGGAGCAAAATCAATAAGCTAAGTAAGATGATATGAAGAAAATCTATCGAAAATATTTACACACGTGGGGGCGTTTTCTACAACGGATCATATGATTATTTTTAATAAAGAGTTCAATAAATATTTGAATTATCTTAGATATTATTTAAAAAAAAAAACCAAAGCGCGTCTATTGAAAAATACTTAATAGGAATTCAGTGCAGCGGTTTATGTTACTTTCTTGTAGAATCACCAGAGCTGTACAAATGAAGATCGAACGTTAAAATTTCCCAATTGACTGAAAAGAGAAATCTAAAAAATGAGTGCGATTTGTCAGTAGCTGACAGTGGACAAAAATATAAAAATATTTTCTTATTTTTGTCAATAAATGACGATCCCGGTGCGATCCGATCCCATTCGATTGTCAAATAATACCGGATCACGGCTATTGAAAGCCGCAAACAACATAAATCTTCTTCACCATGATCGCTACTGGGAAGCTACGGTTACAAACTACGACAGCAGAACAACTTCCATGTCATTGCAAGCCTTTATGTTGCAAAAAGGTTTTCATCACAAATATGCACACAGAATTCTATTGGCAAGATGCTGTAGGGTGTTTAATGGTGGCCTTGTCCTTGTTTCTATTTGTTTTCTTTGTGTCTACATTTTTATTTCTATCAAATTTTTACTATCATGTTGTTTCATGTTGTTCTTCCTTATCGTATACGTATAAAATAAACCTCAACAAATCCATATTGAGATTCTCATTAAGGAAGAAAATTTAAAACAATAATTTCAAACTTCATTCACAAAAAAAAGTATATTAAGAAATAAAAAAAAACAAGGGGACACCCGGGTTTGAACCGGGGACCTCTCGATCTGCAGTCGAATGCTCTACCACTGAGCTATATCCCCTCTTAATCTATGAAGCGCTTTTTACTTATATCAACTTGGAATATTTATAAATTAAAACGCATTGAATAGAAAGCATTAGAAAAATAAAATATTTGTGTTCATACATTACAATAAGTAATAAAATGATGGGGAAATATATCACTTGAACTCATATTGCGTCAAGGAAAAAGTTCCTGTCATTTGTCAGCAAAATCTGATAACTGCGTATTTACTAAATACGCATTATTTTGATCGATAACTTTTAGTGTTTTTCTGGCAAAAATGTCATCACTGGAGAATTGTGGAGAGAACGATTTAAGTGGTTCTCGAATGTGGCGTAATTCGTGCTCTCAGATAGAGGCAATAAATGCTGCCAGCCTATCCCCTCAACATATGTCCGGCCGTTAAAGATGTGTCTGAACAGGCATTCTCATAATGCACTACGACGCTTTGCTGACTGGTCAATTCTGACGTCCATATCTCAAATGCGCTTCAATTGCCATAATTGTTAACAGTGGGGAGAGGAATTAGAGTTTGGAGTGCTAATCTTCCACATAAAAGAAGAGTGCCTCATTTACAAGCCATTACAGCGGAAGGCAAGTAAAAAGCCACAACATCGAGCAAAGCCAACTAAGAAATATTTCACACCACTTCACTCAATGCAATGTTTTATTTATTTTCCTAATTGTTTCCATGTAAAGCCATCATTTTCAAGGAAGTCCTTAGTTCATTTCATCTATTCCACTCCAATTCATATGCAAGGTGTTATGCTATTTTTAGAGTTTATGCATTTGCAGGGCTGATTAACTACTACTAGCAATATTAATTTATTTAGCGCGCGAGAAAAATATGTCATTGTAAACCAAAATTATCAACTCTTATCAACGCCTTGATTTGAACCGTTTTTCACTGAAAACAAAAAAGAAATACTTTTAACATATGACCAACGATCATGTTAAAATTTCGAATTTTTGCCACGTTGTCACGTTGTTTCGAATTGCTTGTAGGCAAGCAGAAAGAGGGAAGTAGATGAGATTGATTTGGTTACCATGAAATAATTTTTCTTAAAAATTACATTTGAGATTTGATCACTAAAAAATAAATAAAAATTATGATTTAAAAGAACAGGTTTATTTGAAAAACAATGTTTAATGTTCGTTCGGTTGTTATGTTAATATTTTAATTGACTAAATGCTTATAAAACCATTTCACTAAAAACCGATCTATCTTAGAACATATGCCCTAATCACGGCTTTTATTATTTAACCATTTGTTTTTTTATAATGTTTTCGATTCTTTACAAACAAACAGATAAGTTCTAGAATCTACGCACTCTAATCTGTATTTTCAGTAACATTCCTTATTGCTACACCAACGATTAATAAACACATATGCATATATGCTTTCATGTTTTCCAATAATCCGTATGACAGAAAAGATTTGCAAACAATTGTTTGCAACTGTCGCATGTTCTCAAAGCAAATCAATTATCAATAATTTTGACTGCACCAGCTTTTCGAATTCGTATAGTCAGCTATTAATAAAAAGCCATTTTCAATAGACATAAAATTATTAGTAACAAATTTCTAGTCGAGACATAAACATTTACATTGGCGTTGCAAATAAATAATTAAACATAATTATTGATACGTTGAGTTACTTAGAACGAAAAAAAAAATGAAAATCTTTCTTGTACTGATGGTTTTGGTCACTGTGAAACCACAAGGTGAAAAAGGATATAAATTGATAACATTATTTCCTTGAAGATTTTCCTATTATAAGTAAATGCTTCGAGAAAATTTAAAATATATCAACGAGGACTCAAACTAATCGTTTAGTTGGATAATTTAGAAATTACGTCATCTTGTTATCCACAAGCAAAGATCATTTCGAAGATCCAGTAGTAGACGAATTTAACTTTCACTCACGCTGTCACTATGTGCACGTTGCTTAGAATTCAAAAAGTTTACACTGCAACGAACTCTTCAACGAACATTTATAAAAAAAAAAGGAGCAATCCGTGGAATTAAATCTAAATCATATGAGCGCAAGCTTGTGCATTTTGAAGAAAAGGGAGTTCTGACAACACGCCGCGGTCAAGCAAGTCCCTTTAGACCTTTTATAGAACATAAACAATACAGTAGCCATAAGGAATTTCCACGTACGTCGTCTTTCCGCTAAATCTCCGCACCTATTTTTTTGAATTTTGAAAACTTATCCAAATCTGCTTATATGGTATAAATATGTTTTTGAAAATTAAGCTTCAATTAAATTTCTATAAAGAATATTGAAAAAATCCCCTTCTTTGTTTGAAAAACAGAGGTGGTTTTAATGTATTGTATGCACTACGCGTGCATGCCTTGGTCCACATTCATCAACAATTAATTTACTAAAAGCTGTTAAATTTTCGCATAATTTGAATTTGCTTGCTTCATATTTGCGATGGTGTGCGTTTGTTACTGATAAAGAATGTAAATATACATTCTGTAGAGTATTTCTGGGAGCGGTATATGCTTTAACAAAACCCCCTTAATAGGTTTATCCTTTGCTTCACATACCAACTTGAGTACAAGAAGTCCAGGGGGTTTTTGGGAATATGTTTATCATCGTCAGATGGACAAACATTGCTGGTTCGATAAAGAATTTGTTACTTCTAATGTATGTATAAATTCTTTAAGTGCCTTTCCAAAAATTTCAAACGTTTTCATAACAGTGATCAATAAAGAAAAGAATAAGATAAAACGGACGAATTCAAAAGCTGTTTCTTTCGCTTTTTAGAATAATTCGAAGGACTCACAGTATTTCTTTGAGGAACGGGCGAACGATCTAATAGAAAGTTGTAATAAAATTGACTTAAGGACATAAGATTGACAGCCTCTTTTGCATGTAAA